TCACAACAACAGCAATTCAGCCTTTTCTTGAGGAACTTTCTTTAACTTCCTGTCTTGTCTTGTACTGATCTGCATGATTCAAATACACATACAGCAGCTTCACCGGCTGACCAGCTGCTGGAACTGCCTGACACTAAACATTTTATCTGCACCTTGGCTTTCAGAAGTTCAGCTGCTGAATTCGGTCTTCCTGAAGTTTCGACATGAAAAGACGCAACGAGACAAGATGGCTGCCAAGTTGAATAAAAGAACCCTTCATTACAGAGCGGGAGAGGGAGAGGGAGCAATCTCTCCTTTGAAAGTCACCAGGCTGAATCCAGTAAAACCAAAGGCTGTAATTAGACAGAGCCATTACAGCCTCACTTTGAATGTTGTGTGTGTGTGTGTGTGTGCGCGTGTTGTATTATGTTCTGGTGTGGATGTATGGACTGTAATTGTGTGTAAAAGGGAGACCAAGTGTGTGCATCCATACAGACAGATGTTAAAATGCCCAGTGAGATTTTGCAGGGGAGTGATTTAGTTAGAAATGTTTTGGTGTGTGTATGTGTGTGTATGTGTGCGCATGTGTGCGTGCGTGTTATGCCTATCCTATATGTGACCTACAGGAAATGCTGCATATTTGGCAACCTTATACATGCCCAGAAGATGCGCATAGGCACACCTACACATGAGGTGGACGTCACGCTGAGAGGAATGATGCTGAAAGACTTTTGATAAAGGACAACAGTTGGACAGAATCTGACACACACACACACACACACAGACACACACAGGAATAAGACAACAAGTTAGTGGCTTTATGCAAGAGACAAGGGAATCAAACTCACTCTATAAACTGATTCGAAATTGGGATTTGACTGTGCTTTGTTCACTGAGACCAGAAAAACAGCTGCGAGAGACATTTGCTATTATGCCTTTGAGAAACAATGATAGTGAGTCAGTTTCTGGCACTGCTGTTACATGGTGCACATCATCAATCTCTTTGCTTACATAACTTTGACACCGGAGCTCAGGTAAGTGTTGGGTTCCTGTTTCACCGAGTGTCTTTAACCAAATTTTGTAGGACAATGCGCTTGGCTGTAATTCTGCTTTCACAACTTTGCCATTTTATGAAGGGCAGTTTGTGTTTGTTTTTTTGACAAAAGGGAAGCCTAGAGGGCCATTTGTTTACTTTATGAGTTTAATTTAGATGATTTTATGGCAATGAATTTCAAAGGACCCATTTGTAGGATTTGAAATATTAAAAAAATGTGATGATTCATAGTGGAAGAACATTGAAACACAGAGAGGCGTGCTGAAATGTAACAGATGCATCAATAAATAATAAAGTATCTGCAAAGAGACTTTGAAATAAGGGTAATACCTGCAGGATGAGCACTTGTGACCATAACAACATGGTTATAGTCTGAATAGTGGTGTAAAAGTTCCATAAAGCAAAAATGACTCACAAGTTACGGAGTGCATGGAAATTATAGGCTGGGGAAGCAGAGAAGTTTTTTCTTCAGCCTTTTAAAAAAGAAAAAAATATTCCTAATACCAAAAATAAACATTTCTGGGTAACTTTCACAATATCTCAGGTTAACTGAACAATAATTAATACTGTCAATGTTTAATCGACAATGCTGAAAAATTCTAAAACAGACTGGTGACTTGCCCAGGGGGTGCTCCACTTCTTGCCCTATGATAGCCAAGTTAGCTTCTAGACCTCCCAGGGCAAAAGAATGTGGCCCATTATCAATATATAAATAAAAAAACATATATTAAAAATACATGATATTTTTATGTTTAGAGAAGTACACAAACAATTTAAAGTTCATTATTCTAATATGTAACATGAGCTGGATTTAAGATTTTGTGGATAATGGTTATTATAATAATGTTCACACAGCTGTCAAACTGCAAAGTCTATAAATAGACAGATTCTTATATTGCACTGATATTTAAGGATGTTTAATTGCATATCAGTTTCATTTACACAGAGAAGCAGGAGTTGTTAAATGACGCTCTGAAATGGTCATCGATATAAAATTAGACTTCACTAATGTGTGGCTAATGTCCAGTGTTATTATCTAAAGTGTGTTAATGCTTTGTTAATTATCTACCTCCACCTGAGCCAGGTACCAGGTAAAGTCACATGACTCCTCAGCAGAGATGGGCAGGAACGCGTTACTTGTAACGCGTTACTGTAATCTGATTACTTTTTTCAAGTAACGAGTAAAGTAAGGGATTACTATTGCAAAAACGGTAATTAGATCACCGTTACTTTCCCGTAGGAACGCTGCGTTACTGCGTTACTAAAACTGTGATTTTTTTGCAAGAATGTCTCATGACAGTTACGTAAGCAAGTGCCACATTCGTGACAACAGCTGTGTGCAGATCAACAATGGATCATATATCGAGTGCGGAGAGAGTATGAGCATGCAGCGTTTAAAGCGTGGAAGTACTGACCTTATTTTGAGTTTGACTCCATAAAAAGTGACAAAAACATTAGCGTCCGTTGTGCGTGGGAAGAAAACTTATTTTTACACCGAAAAAAACCCTAAACAAGCACCGAGTGCGCTATGACGTAATGGGAAATTCACAGAGAAACTCGCGGATTCTTCAACTGACCGCTGCGGCACACCTGCACCAGGGTAAACCTCCGCCTAC